TGCCGCCTCCCTGTCCTCCACGCCAGAACGGATTAACGGTAATGACATTGAACCTTATGGGGAAATTTGCTTCGGGTTGTGACCAATTTGGGTTGCGGCCAGAGTCACGGAACAAATTAAGTTCGTAAACCGAGGTTCCACTGTATGTTGAGGAGGTTTGGTCATGTAGAAAGAATGAATGAGGATCAAACTGCAAAATAAATATATGAAAGAACGAAACAGATTGAGAGGAAAAGGGAGATCAAGAAAGTTGAGCTGGATGAATTGGATCTTCAGAAAGAAAAGTGGGAAACTGAAAGAACAAATAGCAATGTAAGAAAGGATATATGGGCATGGTGGAAGGAAGGATAATTTGCAAGGATAGAGAAGCATGTGAAAGTTTAGAATATAAACTACATTTAGCTATATTTTTCACCTTGTGTCTTTAATTTCTTTGGCTTACTACTTATTACCTTTCTATGCTTTATATAACATCCATTAGCCCCAAAAAGAATAGCATGATGGGTATGTATGTATGAAAGAGAAGGGAACCAAGAGTGACCAAAGCCTTACTTCAGGCCCTGGATGCCATTTCCTAAACTAAGGGATCTGTTCCACCTCTTTGTAGTAATATAACTTGGTGAAGCTATGCAGTGCCTTGGATTTCAAGGTAAAAAGGTGCTTCAGAGTACACAGGGGCACACCCAAAGCAGCTGCTGGTAACTTCTAAAATAGTTTTTTTTCCTAGGATCATGCTGGACAGGGTCTTGAGAAAGACATAGCTGAAGAGAATTACTCTTTTGTACCTTTTGCGGCCACGGGAGCTACTCTTGGAATGAGGCTGGAGTGTAAATATGGAATGATCAAAGTGGAGCGAATGTGATTACTCATTTTATTTCAAGTACTTCAAGTATTTAAGAACAAGTTCTTGGTTAAGTTAAGGTCTGTCCTTAAGTTGAATGTGTATGTAAGCTGGAACTGTGATGGAATGGAATTATGAAGGCCAAACTCAGGGAGGAAAACATGCTCTTTTGTCTCTTGAGGAGCGAGGGAGAGATAAGAGGAG